ATGTTTCTAAATGTCATATCAAGCAGTGATAAGTAAGAGTAGTACAAAGCTTTTTTAAAATAGAATGGAAAACACAGTTAGTCTTGCAGCCCCCAATGAATGTTTTATGGTAATAGCTGCTCTTTCATGTATTCACTTTTATTTACTTCTCCTGGCTCCTGTGCTCTCCTTCACCTTTGTCAGGGCTCCTGAAAGTATTCCTGGGCATCAGCAGCAGTGAGCTGCTACTCTGTCCTTCACCAGACCTGAAGCCTCACATATCAGTGCAGCAACACATCTCTAGTTCTGTAATGCTCAGTGCAACTTTTTTCCTGTGCTTCTTTAAGTAACAACAAATTTGTAGAGAGATGAGTTAAAAATCCCCAAAATGTAGCACCAAGTCTAACCCATTAGTCAATGCGAGGCTTGGCTGTCTATTACTGAGAATATGCAGTAAATTATTCCTGAAGGTGAGATTAGAATTCAGGGAGCTCTTGCTCCAGGCTTTTATATGCTCTGCACCATCAAGTATGGATTTCTTTATTGCATGGAGACAGGGAAGATCATTCTCATACCTCTTTTGGCCTCCTTAGCTGCCCCTAGCATGCTTGCTTTTTCCCCTCAAGAAAATGAGCTAGTTTCACTGGTTTAACCTGATGTGTTTACTTTGCAACAGATCAGGACCACATACCTACACCCACTCACCACATTTCACCTCAGGGTAACAAATAACTTCTCATAAGAAGTTAGCTTGGTCTTCTCTGTTTTTGCACTCTGTTTTGTGCCACTACTCTTCCTGTCTAAAATTGTGCAGTCCAGTAAAACAACGACAAAAAAAAATTTATAATTGTGAATGATTCAGGCTTGAGAGCAGGGACAAGGATGGGAGAGAGATTTTAGCATTTTTAAATGCTAAAATTGGTATAGAGGAAAAAAGAGAGGCCCCACATTAAGGGAATCCCCAGCATGGAAGATGCAATTTTTCATGCCCTAAGCTCTGTGGCTCAGGACATAACACACAGAGCAGCTCAGAGCACACAGTGGCACTCAGAAGCAAGTGTTCATATGCTCAAAATGATTGTGTATGCTCCAGGCTTTCTATGACTTTGCGAAGCACACACACAAACAAAAATCAACTTGCTTTTACAATGAAATAATCAGTCACATGTGCAAAAATTGTTCCTAAACATGTCTTGTGAAGGGCTCTTTAAAAACTCCGCACAGGGATCATTTTTTGACTGAAACAGAGAGGTGAAGACCATGGGTACATTCTTTCTCACTTGGTGAATGTGGATAAAAAACATCTCTTTCACAACTGTATAGCCTCTAACAGTTCAGGGATGGTTAGCCACAAATGTTGTAAAAATAATCTGGTCTTGAAATAGCAACATTTCTCTTTTTTTCCCCTGTGCCCTCCTTTACTGGTAGATACCAGGCTTGCTTCTCAGCTGATGCCTATCACCATACCTGTACTAATACCAAACATGTACCAGTATAACCCATCTGAGGATCTGACCCCTCTCTGCTGTCCCAGATATGTGGTCTCTGCAGAAAGCAATATTATTTTATACAGACACAGAGGTAGGCGTCCTGCCCCCACTAGTTCATATTTAACTCTCTTTTCATCTTGTTTATTTTGCTTTCATGGTATCAAAGCAAGCTGCACACCCAGCAACAAGCTTGCAGCAAATAGGTGCATCTTATTTTTAGCAGATTGCCCTTCACAGGGCACACACTACACTCTCAAGGGATTTATGAAGAGGGTCAGGTCAGAGACTCTATAATTTGAATTTTATTTGTGTGTTAGAAGAATTATGCTTGTATTTTCCAGTACAGTTGGAGCACAGACAGGGATTCAAACTGCATGGGAAGTTAGAGTGTGTGGTGACAAGCAATCACCATTCAGTATTTTGTCTCTCTGCTTCCCCAGAGATGAAAAGCTCTGCATGTCCTTTCCCTACACCCTAAAGACCCAGACAGAGGTGAGGGGGCAATGTCCTGCCCTCTACAATAACTGAGGCTAGAGGCTTCTCCAGCCTGCCAAACTAAACTGGGCCAGGTGCCTCTTCTCACTTTGAGGCAAAGAGACACCATGAAACCTCGACACTGAGCTGTCAGTCAAGAAAAGACCCAAAATGTCCTTTAGCAAGCAGATGAGGATGGTTCTGGAGGTAAAAAGATGACAACCCATGACTCACTCGGAGACTGTTTTCTGAGGACACCTGCCTGGAAGTGCCATCTCCACAGTCTATTCAGGCTGTGTGGTAGAGATTGGCAGTGAGACCTCCCAAGACAGCTCTGAAACAAACTTGGACACAACAGAGCAGGATAACATGGTCCTGTCTCCTCTGGGTATCTGACTCCCAGCACTGAGACTAGACACTTCCAGCACCTAGCTTTGTATTTCTGCACCACACTGCAGCAGTCTGCACCCCCCCTGCCCAGAGATCTCTAACACAGCATTGACTCAGCTTTCTCCATCCCCTTTATGCTCTCCCAATGTACCCACTGTGCAAGACAGACAAATGAAGATCACAGCAAAGGCAGGGGTGTCCTCAAGAAGAACACCCTGAGCCACCAAAATACTGCTGTATGCTCAGATGGACCAGCCTTGCTCCATTACTGGCTATTACAAGGTCACCATGCCTTGTGTTTTTGACTGGTGTGCCAAAAAGCTGGAACTGTGCCTGTCATTTATAGCACCTTTTCTCAGATGGCTCTCACATGTCTTTATAAACTTTGGTAAATGAGTATATAAATCACTCTGTCCACCACCAAAGTACAATCATCTCTGGGATGATACACAGCAGCTGCTGTAAAATCAAACTGCAGCTCCACACCACAGATTAGGGCAATAAAACATGCTGCATCAGCCCACTGAAATGGATGGAGGACAGAAGAGGGACGTGGTGGAAGACATTTTGTAGTTATAATTACCTGAGTATAAATTGGGCAGAAGAGGGTATGGTGTTTAATACTTGCATATCTGCAAATCAAAACAGTTTTCCACCACATGTCAAAACAATCTGACTGTACCATTCCCCATGTTTTGGCCTTCTAAAGCCCTTCCTTTCTGAAAATTGCAGAGCACTTGATAAGAGCAAAAAGCTGATGTGCTGAGTACAAGCAATAGCCTAAATCAAATTTCTTAGCAACTGACTTGATAACTAACTGAGCCTGTAGCTTCTGTGTCCCTCCCTTCCTCTCTCTTGCATGACAACTGAACACAGCATCTATATATACCCAGTTCTAAAATAGCTTCTACTCCTGTAACTCACAAACCGTTCACATAGATCTCATTTTCTAGGCTAAAAGTAGTTAATTGCAGTCACTGAGGGGACTGAACTGCTGCACCCTTTCCCTTATTCTGGGATGGGCTCCTTGAGCAGTGTGTTTCCCCCTCCTGCCCCCCTGCCAAATCATGAACTGTTTATAAAAGGAAATCTTTTGAATGATGGGGCTGCATAGATCAGATCTACAATTTTCCTGTTATCAGGGACTGCAGATGAATCATTGTCCTTCTCTCCCTCTCTTCTCCTTGTCTATACAGACATATATGCACCATCTACAGCTAAACCTGACAAGAAAGTACAGGGAATTTATTTGAAAGGTATTTCCAATCAATATACGACATGGGACAGCGTGGTTTGGGATGAGGACACCAGTTTGAGTTAAGCCTCATACAGACTTTGTACAGAGCAGAAATTGAGTGCAAACTCTCTGCACTGACTAGGGACACTGCCACAAGTGTCCCTAGCTTCATAACCTCTCCTAGATAGTGCAAAAGCTGAAATGATTAGCTAAATATTCATAGAGAACCAAGAGAGTCAAGAATTAAGCATTTGAATTTGATTATTATTGAAACACTACTAATAGTGAATGGCAGCTCAGTCAGACCATACACAAGCCAGGGTCCATTTAGTTATCCAGCTTGTATCAGAATCACACCCACATGTGAACCTCTTGCACTCTTGCAGTCTCCAAGTGCACAGCGAGGGCTCCTTTACCTGGAACTGGACCAGACCAGCTGCTAAGGGAAATTTGGTACACAAAGAGCTAGTCTTTAACTACCCCAGAATAAACTCCTGAGGTGCTCAGAGGGTGTACCCAAGAGCCCCCACTACCAGTCTGTGCCTACAGGAGCACACTACTTGTCCATGGAGACATGGCCATATGCATGGACTTCCTGTGTGGAATATCCTTAAAGAACCAGCCAGCCAATGACTGATTGCACTCAGATTTCTACACATTTTCATGGAAATGTTTACCATTTCACATCCCCATCTACAGAAAGAAGTCATATGAATGACATCACACACCTATCCTGGAGGATAGCTCTCCCACCAATTCCCCTTTGGATTCCTAGGCCATCAGCTTTCAGGAACTGATGAGGAGATTAACCATACTTTCCTGGGGGCTGCATAGCAGGGGATTCTGTGTGCAAGTCTGCCCCTAGCATTACCCAGTAAACTGCCCACACTCCAGGCCAAGTTGCACCTTCACACCTTGGCAGGCCTTAAGGAAGGCAGCTGAACTCACCAGACAAGAGGGCACAATTAGGGCCTGCCATATATGAATGAAACAAGTAAATAACTCCAGCTTCTGGAAGCAAAAATGCCCTTGGCAAATACAGATAGCGGAGAAGTAATTTGAACACAGTATAAGAGAATTAGATACCATGATTTTTTTTTAAATATTATACATATATTCTGCTGCTAGAAAAAAAAAAAAAAAGATTATTTAAAACAAAACTTTGAAGTTTATGATTTGTAAGAACAAAATTTGTGCTCCTACAAAGACCAGTAAATAAAATTGACCAAGAAAACAATAGAAGCATTTGTACAAGAGGAAAAAAATAGAAATGCGTAGTTCTAAGCCTGACGACAGCTGTTTGATTTCAATAATGTAAAATATTCTTTTAAAGGTTAAGCATTCACTATGACACGAAGTTTCTAGGCATCTCTTGTGTTGATACATTGACATTCCCTGCACAAAGCCCCAGACCAGCACATCATACTCACGTGTTTTGCAGAGAACTCATCGACCTCCCGCAGCACCTTCTCCTGGCACTCCGGGTTGGTGGCCAGCAGGTAGGTGGCAAAGGACAGCGTGCTCGTGGTGGTCTCATAGCCAGCGATCAGGAACAGGAAAGCTTGGCCTGCTATCTCATCCTCTGTCAGCATCTTCTGAGCCTTCTCAGATGGGGCTGTGCCAGCCAGAGGCGCCTCATCCTGTCTGGGAGCAGCAGATGGGCCGAGCACACCCGAGCACCCGGCTGCCAGGGACTCGGCTGAGTCGCAGGCATCAAGCATCCACTGGAGAAAATCTCTGCGCCTCTGCAGAACAAGGAACATCAGGGATGGGTCACAAAGCAATGCCTTCCATGGGGGATGGAAGCAGAGAGCAACTTCCTATTTATAGTGCATGCTTGGCTCCTACAGAACGACCACCAGCCTTTCACTGAATAAGGAGGCTTCTATAAATCAGCTGGAAATGCCATAACAGCCTGTCATTGCTTTCTTCCCAGGGAGATGAGACTGATCTGCCCCAATCCACAAGAGGTATGTTAGGCATCCTTCACAGAGGATTGCTAACGGCCAGCTTTGCACAGAATTTCTTTTATTCTTAGGCTGAGTTCTTGGCACTTGCTGGGAATCAGGAGATTGACACGGACATTGTACATGCAGAATCCTTGTGCCCCTGCCAGATGGAGGCAGCACAAATCCTGCTTGGAGGAGCTGGTCCATCTGCTTGGATGCACCACCCTCACTTGTCTGTATGGTCCAAAGCATGGAACTCACCATCTAAGTTCAGGGTTGCATCTACATTACTTTCTATACTAGCTTAGTGTGACAGGGCTGAAATCTAATCTGAGTAAATTGGGATGTCTTTTTGATGAGAAAACACAGGAACACTTGTAACAAGATAGCCTTTCTTTAAACAATTCTTTAAGAATGTATTTGCAGAACCATATTAAAACAGTAAGCATTCCCCTACCACAAAACCTATTTGGGTGGTTTGTCTTTGCAAAATGCCCACTGAATGATCCTGCTGTTATGAGAACTGTTTCTTTCACACTTATTTCTGACACAAAAGCTCTAATAAACAGACCTATGGCCAAGAGTGAGCTGACTCCCAACCAGTGTGGACAGCAAGCTTGATTAGGCTTTGAAATACAACCCAAAAGGTTTGAATTGACTTTTGAGAGTGGGCATAATAGAATTGTGCTGAACCTAAGCCATAAGGCTGTGTGATTGATTTTCAATTCCTCAAATACCAACAGAATACATGATAGCTCAAGGACTTAGAAGTGACTGCAGTGCGAAAACATGACAGCTTGTGCAGTGGAATGGACAAAAGAAGGGACCAAGCTTTTCTTCAAAAGAAAAGAATATCCTGTAAACTGTACTTGTCTTTTAAAAATTAATAATTTGAATGATTTCTTGGATCTGATGCTTGAGAGATAAAGTAGAAAAAAGAAAGGCCAGAGAAAAGGACAGGCAAACAAGATAAGAGTAAGGAAGAAGTAATTAATTATAAATGTCAGACGACTTAATCAGATTATTTATTTTTCACACGACATGGGAAAAGAGAGCAATGAGACAAGAAAACAGGAGAAATACTCAGTGTCCTGTGCTTAGCTCTGCTGCCAACTGTTCTGATCGATCTACAGGCAGAGAGGAATGGTTATTTTGGGGTTTGAATAACACAAGGGATTGGCACAGTGCCTCTTCAACAGCTCCTTCCCTCCACCCCAGAGAACCTTTCCATGATGCATCTTGTACCCAATGAGAATCTTGCACCCTGGTACACCCAAAAATCAATGATTCGGATAGCAGCCAGTGCCTGCTGAAGGACTCTGCACATTCTCCAGTCAGGCTGAATCACCTCCAAGGCATGGGAGACGTGCTTTTCCACCAGCAGGTGAAGGCACACAAAGAAACGCTACAGACACTGTGCTCTGCAAATGAGCTGCAGCTCTGAAAACACCTCCTTGTGCCTAGACTTAGGCACAATTCCCACCAGCATGATAGGATACCTCTGCTCCATTATGTTCCTGTAGATTGGAGGAAGTGAGACTTCATGCAGACTTTGGCTGTGAATGGCTCAAAATCTTGTTTAATTTTTCTGGGGAGGAAAAGTTTGTTCATGTCCTGGGAGTTCATGTATTGCACGACTCAGAGTCCAACTCTTTTGCATAGGCTGTGCTTCAGGGATTTCCCTTGTACATATATTTGTATTAAGCCATTTTTAAAATTAAAAAAAACCAAGCAAACAAGAAAAAAAAAAAAGCCAACCAAATAAAAAAAATTCCAAAACCAAATAAATAAAGAAACAGCCCCAAAAAGAAACAACAACAACAGCAAAAAAAACAACAAGAACAAAAATAAAACCCAAAATACCAGGAGAGTCCAGTTCCAGTGTGTTCATTAGCGTGTGGATAAACCAATTCAAAGTAGTAATGAACCGCATCTGTAGAGGCAGTCTCTTTATCTGCAAGACTAGCCACCATCACCTAAATTACCTTCATAACATAAACATGTAGAATTACGTTCCTTTTCAGTGGAATTGTAGCACTGTAGCCTCCTGCAGCTCAAAAGGTGTAACATTTGCCATGGTTCTGCATCCATCCTTCTCTAGCTGTGAATTTTCTTATAAACAAACTCATTGCCCTCTAAGGGTTTGCTGCTCCTAGACATGAGCTGTTAGACGAGCCTGGTCTTATATTTAGACAATACACTCTCTGGAGACCTGTAAGATGTTTCTCCAGCCTTAAACAAAATCAGGTCCTGGCCTTATACAAAGCATCGGGTTATTGCTGTGATAGCAAAGTAATAATCATAATGACTACTGAATAAAATTTCATTCATGAGAATTTTTGCTGAAAGCAAACTTAATGAATACCAGCACAAGTGAATATTCCCAGGAATGTGCTCTGAAATGCCTCTGTGGCCATTTTGAGGAGCTCTTTTTATTACTCACATGATATATTTGGTTAGGAATTTAAAAGCTTGTCTTGTTGCAGAATCTGTTTTTAAGGTCATCCTATCCAGAAAAAACTGGATACCTGATCTGTGCCATGTAACTTGCTCACAGGTGAGCAGGGGTTGCTAAGAGCAATGGCTTCATAAACAAACCTTGCAAAAACAACATTAATTTGTTGAATGAACTTGAATAATAGTGGGGGGGGGGGGGGAAGTATAACATTAGAGAGAAGCAAGCTTTCTTCCAAGATAATTCTACACAGTGGAAGGTGCTATATTTCAGCAATGCTTCTCTTCCTTATGCTTCATTCTGCTTCACTTTAGGCATCAGTATAGAGTGCCACATAAAAAATTGTCCTCAACCCAAGCGAGAGAAAAGATTTCCAGGGTTATAACAAGGCATAATGAAACATATTTTTTTCCGCACCATCAGGATGGAAAAATTGCTCTGATTCCAAAACCTAACAATGACAATAGAGGCAAATACTAGCATAAACCCAAATATAATTGGATTATTAAGTGCTAGAAATAAGGAAAAAGCATCTCATGAAAATTCACGGGGAGGGGGGTTTCTCCACTTCAGCTGATAGCAGAAGGAAAAAAAAAATTAAAAAATTACATTATTTTTCTTAATTTAACAAGAGACCAGGTACTTGCAGTGCCACTGCACAAAAGCATTCTTTGGTCATCACATCCAGCTGCTGGCTTCCTTTCTCCATCAGGGACATTTGTTTGATTTTCCTCACAAAAAGCAGAAGCCCATAATAGCCTCCATCCTGTCCTCTGACACTTGCATAGTTATGTTACAATGGCCTCAGAAACAAATTCCTGCCACAAAAGAATGGCGTGCTAATGCAATGGACTCTTCATTTGCCCCTGTACAACACAGAGCCTGTCATTAACCCAATGATAATTGAACGGAAAGCCACGATTCAAACAAAACCCATATAATTTGAATGCAGCGTGGGACAGGGCGAATGTCTAACTCGGCGGTGACACAGACATCCCCTCTGAAATATGTAATAAGACAAGCTCTGCTTACAGCTTCCCCAAGACAGACACCTTGCAGTATATTTCCTGACACCGGCGTTCTGGGCCGTATCATTCCTCTCATTAGCCTCCTCAGGCATCACCTGGCCGTGCGGAGAAGCGGCTCTGCGCGGAGGCGGAACGAGCGCCGCGCTCCGCGCTGGAAGAACAGACAAGCACGGTGCCAGGGAAGGCCAGGCCGCCAGAATCCACCTCCCCTCCTCACACCACGGCTCTCCAGCCCCACAGCTGTCAGAAGGAGAGAGATGTACCGCTCACACGCGAGATGCAACATGACTTTTGTCACAGGAGGCAAGGGATGGCTCCAGCTTTCTCCCTCCTGAACAAGGAGTTGTAGTTTCCTATCTGGGGCTGGCATGCCAGCTGACCTTCTGGCAAATTCACCATGCTTTGGGGATCCAGGGAACTCTTGGGTCATGCTTTTGGTGGAGAGATTAAGCTGTTCAACTTCTCTGCAAGCTGAAGTAAAAAATTACTTAAGGAAAACTACCAAATATGTATCAGTTTGAATTGTAGTTCTCAATGTTTTTATTTCAATCGTGTTTTTTTGCAAATTATACTCAAATTTTGTACCGCTCTGATAGTTCAGATCTGCATTTTGAGTTCAAAAGAGCCCAGAAACACAAAAAAATCTACTTTATGATGAATCAAGGAATCAAAATAAATAACATAATTGGTCGATAGTCTGTAAAGCACTTGCTGTGGTGTAAAAGTGATGAAAATGTGATGCTGCAAACATAATACCAATCACAATAAACTGTACAGGCCTTCCCGGTCTTTCTCAAATGCTTTGATTCAAACTCAAAAATATAGATTTCAGAATCCTTATCTATCAGGGAGAAAGCTCACATCTCATATTATTTCAGCAAACTTGTACAAACACTGCTAAGTCAATGTATATCCAGGAAGCTTTTTATAAGCTTGATTTGGCAACCCTCTTTTTAGGTAAGACAAACCTGTGTCACAATGAAGTTATCAGTAAAGCACTGCAGTAGCTACCCAGATCCTTTTGAAAAAGAAGCACAAAATGCAGTCCCACTAAAACTACCATTTTGCCGAGTTTCTTTGAAAGGATCAAATTCAACCTCTAACACTTGCAGGCTTCATTTTGTTTCTCAATGAAATCACCAAAAAAAAGACAATTTCTCTGCCAATACATCCAATTCCAAAACATTCCAGAGAGACTGTCCTTTTGCCTTGTGCTTGAACACAGAAGCTCAAATCAAATGAGAAGCCCTCAAATTTGTATGTCTGAAGGTTGGGAACATGGTGCTCTCACAGGTGATACTCAGCTCTGGACT